GGGGGGGCGTTGTCAGAGCCTCAGATGGAGCAGGTCCTGCTGCCCCAATGACCCAGGGCCCGGGGGAGCTGCAGCAGCCCAGCCCGCCACAGGCGGGCGAGAGTTGGGGGGCATCTAGCACGTCCCCTGCAGTCCCACACCAACAGCACACAGCTGCACCCACCTTCTGCCGGCCAGATGCCTCGCTGGACCTCGCGGAGACAATCACCGTGGCCGCCATGAGGAGCTCCAGCAGGAGCAGCAGAATCAGGTTGAAATTTATCTGTCAAAGGAGATCGGGGGTCTGAAAACTGACTTCCTTCACTGTGATCCTGTAACCGCAGACGGTCCCATGGACAGGCCTCGCCGCCCGCTTGCAGCCCTGGGCAGCGTTTTGGTCCAGGGCTTGGTGCAGCACCTGTGTCTGATCTAACCATTGGTTCCGATCTAAACCTTCCCTGGCAGTCTGCCCCTCCTGGTCTTTAAAGAGAGGAAAACCTACATTCATACCTAAACCTGTGCACACTTACAGTGGCTCTGTTGCGGAAAACAGGACACGGGGTTTTGGGAGTGATATTCTGCATCCCAACTGTGCTGGCAGCTACACAGACCTACATCTGTGTTAAGTCATAGAGTAATACCCTAGAAAGTGTCAACTTACTGTCAATTAATATTCACAGAGCTATATACTGGAAAATGTCAATTTAACTGTGTAAGCAGGCCAGTCCAGAGCCTGCCCCACCCCTCCTCTGTGGGGCTCCTACTTGGGGGACACCCCCACCTGCCCTCATCACCCAGGGCCAGGTACCCGGCAACCAGGGGCAGCCCCCGTGCCCGGAGCCCTGACATTACTCACACAGCCTGTCCTCAGCCTGCTCCCTGCCCTGTTCCTCCCTGAGACCACAGTGAGGGCTCCTGCGCCTGCTGTCCCTGCTCCCTGTGCCTCCTGTGTGGCCCCCGTGACACGGCCCCTCCTCTGGGGACTTTGAGCACAAACTGTTGTTTCAGTGGTCAGTGTCTCCTGACCTGCGGGCCTCACCACACCTTAACAATAGTGAAACCAAGGTTTAAGCTAAATGCAATTTGTGAACTTAATCTTCAGAACCCTGTGTGCAAACTAAAACAGAGACCGTCCGCTCTTGCAGAGCATTTGTGGAACACTGAGGAAAACTGACCACCTGCTAGGCCACAAAGCAGCCCTGGTAGGTTTCAAAGAGTCAACACGGCACAGATCGTGCTTTCTGACCATAAGATGGTAAGATTTGAGACTGATAATGAACGGATGATTTTTAAAAAATAATAAATGGGTGATGTTCCCACCCAGAAATGTTGGTGCAGGCCCTTAACAATCCTAGGGTCACGTAAGCAGCCAACCAACTCTCCTGCAGACGCTGTGGCCGGCTGTTTCTCTCGGACCTGCATCTGTCTGTCCATTTTCTGTGCCTTATTGCCTGGCTCAGTCTTACTGGGGCCACCCTACCCCTTTCCTGCCCCCCCCCACTGAGGTTTTTCCTTTTTTTTTAGAGGGTGGAAGTGAGAGAAGGAGGGAGGAAGAGAGAGGGAGAGAGGGGGAGAAACAGAAACATCGATGTGAGAGAAACATGGCAATTGGTTGCCTCCTGCATGCAACCCAGGTATGCGCCCTTCCCTGGGTATCCAACCCATGACCCTTCGGTGCTGGGCTGACGCTCTAACCACTGAGCCACAGCAGCCAAGGCCACCTTCCTGGTATTAATGCAAATGACTCCACGTGGCACCCAGAGCAGGAGGCTTTTCGTGAGGACTCTGATGGGTCCTCGTTTCTATGAGATTCCCTTTCTCGGCTCTGGGATGGGCGTGGCAGGCTCTTCCTTTGCTCTTAGAGGTGCACCTCACCGCCAGCAGCATCACAGACTTGATGAAATACAGGGTGTACCAAAAAATGTGTGCGCACTTTGAATAATGATTAGTTCCAATGAGTTAGATCTGAAAAGAAGGAAACATCAACTGAGCTGTCAGCTGTTAAAGTGTGTATACATTTTGGGGGGACACCCTGTATGTCACTATGTTCCTGTTAATTTTTAAGAACTGTTGTGAAGAGCCATTAAAATATTATCAATAAATCAGTCCACTGGAATCAGTGAAAAAGTTAAAGGCAATTCTTTCCTTCAGACTGATAAAATTATCCAACTTTGTCGAACTCGAGGGCCATGACACACATTTAGACGTTTCCGACCCACGGACAGCGCTCAGTGACACCAACCACACGTCCCCACAGCAGAGACTCAGTGGGGGGGATGCATCTAGGAGGAAAGAGACAAGTGCTTGGGACCCGTGTGGCTCCAGGGACTCACGTCTATTGCTGACGGGTTCAGGACCAGTTTGCATCCAAACCAGATCAGACACGTAGTGGTGACAGCAAACGTGGAAACAAACAGCATCTGAAAATTGGGGATCTGAAAAAGAAGGCAGGTGGAGTTCTGTTCTCCTTTGCATAACTAAAGAGGTAGAGGCAATGTTAAACCTAATTCCAGGTCGCTAATTAAAAACCCTACAGACTGTGACATATAAGAATCAGCTGGGGCAGGTGCCCTGCAAGCTCCTGGGGGCAGAGGATGGGCGGGCACAGGAAGCATACAGTGGGGGCGCAGGGCTGCTGTGGGCAGTGGAGGTGCCTCCCACCCATGCACAAATGTGTGCACATGCACACATGCACATGAGTGCAGACACATGCACACACAAGTATGCATGCACACAGGTGCACTTGTGTACACACGCATGTACCTGTCCACCCTGTAGGGCCTGGGGTCCCTTCCACAGCCTGTGAGCCATGTGGCTGCCCCCATGGTACAGAAATTGGACAGAAGGCTGGACTCACCGCATTGGCATTTTTCCTGGAAACAGCGAAGCTCACGATAGCCGAGGGAATGCACTAGAAAGAAAGCAGAGCTCAGTGAGCAGTGTTGTGGCCACTAGATGCAGGGGTTTCGCTGGACGCTGAAAAGTCCCCAATTCTGCCAGAATAACTTATTCTGGAAGTTTTAATTTTTCTGACGAGATGAAAAAGACATTTGCTAGTGACTAGCATTCCAAGTGGACACACTCAGAAGCTGGAACACAGCTTCCTGCGGCTCTAGACCAGGGTTCCTCTCTTCTTAAGAAATTACCCAGCCCTGCCAGGCGTGGCTCAGCGGCTGAGCATCGACCTAGGATCCAGGCGATCGGGGTTCAATTCCTGGCCAGGGCAAATGCGCAGGTTGCGGGCTCCATCCCCAGTTGGGGGAGTGCGGGAGGCAGCTCATCAATGACTCTCATCATTGATGTTTCTCTCTCTCTCTCTCCCTCTCCCTTCCTCTCTGAAATCAATAAAGATATATTTTAAAAAAATTACCCAAAAGGGGAGACGCATCATCGCGTGAAGGAAGTGGGAACACTCAGGAGTCCAGGGCCACGGGGGGTTCTTGTCGGGGCCCCAGTTTGACCCCCAAAGGAGCAAAGGAAAGAGGAAGGAGGGCAAAGGCATGGGCCTCAGGGGACGG